TTCATTGCCTGAAAAATGACTAGTAAAAGTCTATCCTCATGAATGTAACGTATAGAGATAGCATTCAGAAGATTATTTTACGAAAATTACCTGTTAAATCGTTGTCGTTAAAATACTCTTCATCAGTTAGGTCATCTCCCGTTGGAGGAATAATAGCAACGTCAATTTCATTATCGGTAATATTTTCCATTTCGGCTTCCAATTCACGTAAAGTTAGGGGTCTTTTTGGATTATTTTTCCACTTATTTTCACACATTTTAAAGTTAGGAAATCGAAATCAGTGTTTATTAACTGTTTTATGACAATTCTTAAAAGTTAGGTTAGAAAAATTTTCTTTTAGTTTGTATTTTTACGACAAGGGGCTCGGTCGTTAGTGCGACAAGGTAAAACTTCAAAATTATTTTTGCTCTATTCTGGAGCAAGTCACATGTCACCGTTTTATTCCCTTATACTACTTCGCGATGTCACCCCTCGAGTTTAGAAATATACTGTCAATATAAAAAGTATCAAAATAGAAATTTATTGCCTTATACCGCCAACGTTGCGAATACGCAACATTAAAATTACACTCAATTTCTTATTAAAAAATTTTTTTTTACAAAAATGAAATTTACGTCAATATGATCCGAAAAGATAATAGTTTATAATAGACATGACAAAATCCAAAAATTGTTAGTCACTCGTCGCAAATAAATTTCAAAGTACAGTGCTGCAGAATACCTAAAAATCGGCAAAATTCAAAATTTTTTTTTTTTTAATTGTAATGAAAATTGTGCCAAACTAAAATTTTTCCCGAAAGCTTCATAGTATACTCGAATTACTACCAAATAATTGAAACTCTAAAATAGCTGCAAACGGTTAAAAAAAAATTGTAAACAATATGTTGCGTTTACGCAACGTTGGCAATTAATGGGTTAATAAAAGATCTAGACAAAAGATCAGCTATGTGTAAATTTTTTCCTGGAGTGTACTCAAAAATAAAATTATGTTTTAATAAATTAATTCTCATTTTCTGTAACCTTGGTGAAACTATTTTTTGTATTTCTTTTTTCAATATTACAATTAAAGGTTTATGATCATTTATAACTCTAACTTTATTTCCATACACATAATAATGAAATTTTTCTAATGCAAAACAAACTCCCAACATTTCTTTTTCTATTTGTGAAAACTTTATTTCATTTTTTGTTAGACTCCTTGATGCATAACAAACAGGTTTTCCTTCTTGTATTAAGGCTCCACCTAAACCTTTCTTTGAAGCAACACATTGTACTACAATTTCTTTTTTGGGATCAAAATTCTTTAAAATTGGCTCATTTGTCAATATTTCTTTTATTTTATTTAATGCTTTTTCATGATTCGGATACCATTTAAATTCAGTATCTTTTTTCAATAAATCTCTCAATGGTTCTATTATATTACTATATTTTTTTACAAATCTCAGATAATTAAGCATACCTAAGATTCTTTGTAACTCTTTAAGTTTTTTTGAAGACACGATTTCATTTACTGCTTTAATTCTTTCTATGTCGGGTTTTATACCTTCGTTACAAAAAATATGACCTAAATACCTGACTTTATTTACGTTGTATTACATTTTTTCGGCATTAAATTTTATATTGAACTTTTTTGCTCTTTCCATTACTAGTCTCAACGTCTTATCATGAGTTTCCAAATCTGTTGTTGATATCAAAATGTCATCAAAATAGACACAAACATTTTCAATATCTCCAAAATTTGTTTCAATTATCATTTGGAAAAACTCAGGTGCGCTTATAATTCCAAAAGGCAACCTTTCAAATTTACAACACCCAAAAACTGTAGCAAAAGTCGTCAAAATTTTTGAATTTTCTTCCAGTACAATCTGGTAATCTTTTAGATTTAATACAGTAAAAAATTTCTTTCCTGATAGTTTAGCACAAATATCATCAATCGTTGGAATTGCATAATAATTTCTCTGAATCGCCTTATTTAGATCTTGCGGATCCAAACATAATCGTATGGAAGCATTGGGTTTCTCCACTATAACCAAATTATTTATCCACTCTCCTGAACTTTACTTATAATTTTTCTAATTCATCTAATTTAATTTTTAATCTATCTCTTAGACCTACCGGTATTCTTCGTGGTAACTTTACAACAGGTTCATAATTTAGTTTCAATGTTAACTTATTTTTTTCCTTAAATTTACCTAAACCTTTAAAATTTTCATTATGTTGTTTCAAAAATCTGTCCCTATCACTTGACCTTATTTTCCCAATTTCATCAACCTTTTTAATTATACCTAATAACTGTGAACTTTCACAACTTAATAACGGGCCTGATTTCACATCAACTATAATAAATTTTAACATTTGTTCTTTTCCACTTTCGAACTTACATTTTAAATTTACATAACCTAATGGTTTTATCTTTACGTTATTTAATTTACGTTATTACGTCTTTTTAATTTCATAATCATTAAAATGTTTCTTTAACATATAAAATGGTAAAATATTAACTTCAGCGGCTCTATCTATTTTTATCTTAATCTGAATATTATTTATACTTATTTTTTCAAACCAACCATTTAAATTTATGGCATTTACATTTTTCTTTAACTCTATACTACTTATCTGTAACACATCCTCTTCTTTCTCTTCGTTCAACGCCTTATCTTTCTTTACTTAACACGATTTGGCAAAATGGTTCAACAAACTACACTTCGCACACTTCTTACCAAATGCAGGACATTTTCGAGGACCATGTTTTTTCTGACATCTTCTACATAAAAATTCCTTTTCTTCACCTTTCTTTCCTACTTCTTGTTTCTTTATATTTTTGTTAATCTCCACTGAATGTAACTTTTCTACATGGGATTTAGTTTTTTTCGCTGTTCGGCATTCCATCTCAGCCCTTTGTAAAATTAAATCTGCTGTTCCTAATAATCTTTCTTGTAAATTTTTATTTGTTACTCCCAAAACTATTCGATCTCTAATTAACAAATCTCGTTGATCTCCAAATCCACAGGAAACTGCAAACTTTTTCAATTCAGTTACAGAATGCTCAAAGTTTCCATTTCCTCTTGTTTTTATTGAAAAATTTAAACCTCTCATATATAACATTCTTTTTCGGGTTCATATAAGCTTCAAATGCTTCTATTACCTTTGTGTAATTTTTTTCTATTTGCATCACTAAGATTAAAGGTGTTGAAAATATCTACAGCTTCTTCTCCGATAACATTTAGAAGTATCGCAACTTTCACTTCACCTTCTTGTTTATTTTTTCACGTAGCTAGCATATAGATTTCAAAATTTTGTCTGAATTTCTTAAAATTCAGACTTACAACTTACAATTTGGTATTTTTGCATTATGGGGTTCCATCATAAGCCCCGTGAACCTAACCTCACTCTCTCGAAACTTCTATTTTCTTCACATCCTTCGTATATCTTTCTAATCACCTGACTGCGCCATTTTTTATATTTATGGTTAAATAATATTTTATAATTTAAGGATAAAATAAAAGACCACCTTGTCTTCTATTCGAAACACTTTCTTTTTTTTTTTTTATTTTTACCACTGATGCTTATGCAACCTAACATACAACAGTATTAACTAATCTAGAGAATTTGTTTCATATATTCAGTAAATTTAGTTAATTTTGTCAACAACATTTCACCTTAAGCTGTGCACGTACGTGTTTGTCTGGACAGTGTTGCCAGAACTTTTTTTGACCCAGAGATATAATTCAATAATTCTGTTTGAATATTAAAATTTTTCAGTTTTAACGTTGACTGACAAAATTAACAAGAGAAGCAATGCATAGGCAAAATAGCGTCGCAGCCAGTAACTGCGTTCCCCTCTCCCCACTGCAGAAGTAGTACCACCGCACTGGTGGAATCTAGGAACTGTAAACTGGCGCCGCTGCTAGATAATAACTGAACCACGAGAAATAAGAACTAATAAATGTTCTTTTTAATTTTATTAATTTATTTCTATTTTTTTTTTGTTTTTATTTTTGTGTCACAGCAAATAGCACACAATGTCTCTTCTTCTGAATATTCTGACTCATCGTCGCAAAGATTCTCAACGTCTTCTTCTTCAGATGTGTCAGTTTCATTCTCAAAAAGTTTCTTTTTTACTCTTTTCACTTTTTCTTTTTTGTTGGTTGTCTTCTTTCGTTTTTTCCCTTTTTGTGCGGTACATTTTTTTTTCTTTGTTGTTGCTCCTTTGTTTTTCTGAATATTTTTTTTATTTTCTTGTATTTTGCTGGTTTCTCCCTTCTTCTTTGGATTGATTTTAGTTTTACATTTTTTCTCTAAACGTTTCTTCTCTTTCTCTTCAAAAATTGTTTTCATTGGCGTGCTAGATAAGATTGCTGAATATGTTAGGTAGTGGACTCACAACTGATAGAACTTTCGCAAAATCTAATTTTTCTGCAGTTATGGGGCAAGCAGATGTTTGGATATCAAAGTTGACAGTAACTGCCTGCAGATTTGCTGTGGATGGGAACGTGGTGGCAGAGTTCATAGTAAGTGAATCTTCTTGTAAATCATTTGATCTAGATAAGTTCAGTGCTGGGTTCTTAACAGCGCGTGACTGCTCTTGTTCAATATTTGGCGTGGATTGGATCAGGACAGAGCTATTCATTTCCAGCTCCAGTTGAAAACTACGAGACGTAGACGGAAGTGTGTCAGACTTACCAGTACCACGAGATGTAGACGGAAGTGGGTCAGAGTTACCAGTAGCTAGCTGTTGAGAAACGGGTCACTGAGGCTGAGCAACAGCAGCCGAACTTGCTTGCTCATTAACTTTGTTCTGATCTTCATCCACGGCAACAAAATCGTCTTCTGAAAATACAGCAGGGGTCATGGGAAATATTCCCGTGGCTTTAAAGCCAGATATCCCGTTGTCTAAGCTTGGCATAAGCTTTATTAAACAAGCCTGCAATCTCGTATGGTGTAATCTTCACCATATTTCTGGATTTTATAAACATGTCGCATTCCCTGTTGTAGGCTCTCTTAAGCGGCCCAAAAAAAGTCACATCCAGAGGCTGTATGTGATGAATGTGGTGGAATGGAAAGCATTACGACATTGTTTGTTTTAGCCACTTTCCAAGCTTCTAAAGTACAATGGCTGTTGTGGTTGTCCATAATCAGCAAAACAGGTTGTTCAGCAGTGGGTTTTGAGTGCTCAATGAAATGTCGCAGCCATTTAATGTATATGCTTTCATTTGTCCAACCGTTATGAGAACATGTATAAACAGCCCCTGGTGGACCATTTTTTTCTAGCTGCGGTGAGTGACGTTGTCGAGGGAAAATAAAAAGAGGCGGGATGAAGGATCCTGAAGCACTCATAGCACAGAGAGCCGTGACGTTTTTACCTCTTTCCCATGATGTGAGTGATCCAACTCGTTTTTGTCCCCTAGGCGCTATAATTTTTTCTGTTTCCTGGACCGTCGTTACGCCTGTCTCATCCATATTGTAAACATGACATGGCGGAAAGTGGTATTTGGTCATGCCATTCTCCAGATTTTCAAAGAATCGATCCACTTCGACTTTATTGAATCCAAGTATTCTATTGATGCTTGTCGCTTCTGGCTTTCTAATAGGTAGATCAGGATGTCGTTGGAAAAAGCCATTTAGAAAGTCTCTGCCCGCAGACTTCTTGGCTTCGTTAAATCGATCTGCGACACAAAACTTTTTAGCCATGGCGTAACATGTCTTACAAAACTGAGCCCTCGTCAGTCCGTAAAATTTATTTGATATCTTACGAGGAATGTCTTACAGAATGTCTTCTTGTTCCTCAGTGAACACAGAAGGCCTTCCTAGCTTTGGAGGACATTTGTAGCTAGCATTGTTGGATTTGGCTAATCTGAACTTCTTTTTCAAGGTGCTGTAGGGTATTCCAGTCTCTTTAGATACCTTGTATACGGATGTATCGCCACGCCGAAGTTTTTTGACAGCATTTTCTAAGGTTTCAACAGTCCAAGACGCTTTCGTAGTGGTGCGTTCTCTTTTTCTTGGCATTTTGGCATCTGAAAAATGCATATTAAAATGCATATGGGGTAATTGGAGCTACAAGGGGTAATTAGAGCCTAATAAGCTCTGATTACCCGAATATCACCATCTTGAAATTGAATAAAATAATATCCTGAATCTAGCTTGTAATGAAATTATACGCACAGATACTCAAAATTGATAACATTAGCTACAAAATAAAACAGGTTTGATTGTAACAAACATATAACTTCGCACTTACCTGGCCGTTGAAATTTCGTATTTCGTATTTTAATGTAAAGCTAATATTAACAAAGTGTCAAATATTTACGTATACTAAATATTCGAAAGCTGTAATCTAACTTAACTAGTTAGTTAACATTATTTTGGTAATTTGGAATCTTATTTATGAAAACAAAATGTATTACACAAATAAACACTTACTAAGAAATAACTATGCTCTTATTAACCCTCTTATACACTAGATAATATTCGCACTTTTCTATGTGGTTTAGAATATGATGTCGACATTGTCTTGCTAGCACAATCGGATTGCCATTTCAAATTTCTAAATATTTTCATCTTAACAAGTAGTTTTATCAGTTGTTTTCTATGGTCCACACAATTCGGTATTTCATGCACCCAGGGCAATTCTTCCATTATATCAGATTCTATTTTCTTTACAATATTTTCGGTGAGTTTATATTATTGATAGAGAATATTAAATTTATTTAAAAGCTAAGTGGTGGTATTAATAAACTTCTCAGAAGGTCTTTTCAAGAATTTAATGTTGCTAGAACAACCATATTCTTTATTCAAGATAAAAAATTCATTTTCTTGAAAAGCTTCATTAGAGTCTTTGACTAAATCGGATCAGCACTGTTCAAATTTGTTTTATCTAAAATTTTGTGAATTAAATAACCTGCTACGTACGCTGTTGAACAATTTTCTAATGTAATTTCTTTTGGTACACTACTACATGGAATATCTTCAACATCGTTACCATCGTTGTCCTTTTGAAAAGTTATCACGTTGGATCCACTTTCTTCTCTTACTTGCTGGTTTTTTTTTTCACTGTCCATAAATTGTTCATTGTCTGATCCGGATAATATGAGTACACTAGCTTCGTCAGCTATACAATTACTGCTATCGACCTCCATTCGCAATCTGATATTGCTGTTGTGTTGAACAGCAATTCGAAATTGGCGCACGGTAGGTGTGGGATTATAACCACCTCTACTTCTGACAACAGAAAAAAAATTTTCAATTGGGTCCTGATTCAGAAAATTGGTCATTAAATATTTAATATTTAATGATTTCATTTCTGACCATAATAGTAAAACAGATCGTATAGTCCATTGAAAGCCCTCTAAGCAATAGATATTGTTTCTCTTTTTTTCAATGTTATTAATAATCTCATAAACATCAACGTGTTTGAACAAAGTCAATCCTTGCAACAAAGTATTATCCGATGTGTCGTTATAAATTGAGAGTGCTCGTTTATTGGGATTAGAGTCGTTCAAAACTCTACTGTTTAGGACATCAAATATGTCATTAATGTTTTCTATAAAATCGGCAGTGTTTAATGCTGTACTGCTTTGTAATTGAGATGTTCCTCTAGCGGTAGCAATTGCTGCTGCGACTGTGTGTGAAAATATTTGCGTCGCATATTTTACTCGCATTTTTTGGAAGGTCATCGGCTTAATATGAGGATCGCGAATTTTTAACATCGCTATTGCGGTTATAGATTTTTGATCAATTTTATATGTTTCGACAATATCAGTCCAGGAAATTACTTTTCCATGAACCAAAAATTTTAGTTTTGGATTCATAAAGTTATTTCTCAATGATTTCATCAAATGTGGTGCGTCAAAACAAGTAAATATTTTTTTGTTATCTATATATATTATAGAATTGTCTGCAGTAGCCCCTAACAGTTGTAATGCTCTTCTGTTATTTGAACCTTAATCGCTTACCAACATAATAAGAGGGTTGAAGTTCATCTTCAATAACTCTCTTATCACATCTTTGATAATAAGATGCAGCGACGAACTTTTAACAGATCCAGCAGACGTATAGAAGCCTAGCGGTATTTTCCAATTATGGAGTAAGCCGCGAAGATAAAATACTAAAGCGGTGTTGGCTAATTTTGCTGCTTTACCATAATTTGCCAGATCTTGAAAACACTCAATTGTATCCTGATACTTATTGTATTCCAACTGTTTTTTCAGTGTAATTTCATCAAACATGACCACGCATTTTTTTTTTCGTAATGTGTCATGGTTTTAGCTTTGCAGACTAATCTCTTCGTCAGTGTAGTCTTTATGCCTGTTTCTAAATTTAAAACTTGCAACCAAGATTGAATGGTTCTGATCGCTGGCAGCACAAATTTTAATTTAGATAACATAAAAGCATATGTGCTGGGCGATTTATAAAAGTGACATTGCAATCTGTTTCTCGGACTTACTCCATTTGGTTTTTCTTGTATGCCAAAGTTGCATGTTTATAAAAGTCTTTACGGATTCACTTTTATTTATAATTTGATAATGGTTTGTGGACAAAAATTATTGCGTTTCTTTTTTAACCGGTATGTTTGCTGACATCGTGCTTTGTACTTTAATCGTAAATGTTGAATTTTACTCGTTAAAACTTTACATTTTTTTTTTGATGATAGTTGTTTTTTGAACGGCATATTCATAATGCGGTCGCTTACTACACTGTTGCTTGTAGAAGTAGAAGCATGATGTGTTTCGTCTGGGGTGTCATACTTTACAGTGATCGTTGACATTGTCTCGGAATCCGAGTGAGATGTTGTGCTGGAACAATTTCGTTGCAACTGCCTTTTCGTACAATATGTTTTGACAGGCTGGGCTAATTGGAACAACAAAAACGGCTTGAACATCTGCATAAGGTATAACAATTTAGAATTAAAAATTTTAAAAGATAATGTTGAAAATAAATTAATTATTAAATAAGGTGGCATGTTTCATTACATCTAAATAGGTATACGGCATGACAAAAGAGGTAATTATAGTTGAAAAAGAAGTCTTGTATCGACAAAATAGGAGGTTAATACAAAATAGGAAAAAAATACTATAAACAATACGACAAAAATGATTAAAAATTCATTCATAAAATGTGTGCTTACCATCATTATTGTAGTTCACGGGAAGAGCGTTGTGACGTAGTCTTTCACAAAGTTTGATTTCTTTTAAATCATCGACATCCATCAAAGCAATGTCAATATTTCCGCACCGTTTCTGCCATTCGAGTGCTCTTTGTTTCTCCTTTACAGGAAAGCTGAAATAACTTTTTCCAGGATCTGTAAACCTGTGTTTTCCACAAGTATTATAATAACATAAGTTTGTTTTTAACACCGGCATTTTCTTGATGGAGCGAACGAGCCTAGAAACTTACGCTACGCACAGCGATAAAAATCTCAGTGTTATATTGTATTTTATATTATATTAGTTCATTTATATTAGATTGATTTAATTTTAAATAAAAAAGGAGCCTGCGATCTCAAAATATATTCAATTTAAGTGTAATAATAAAGTTTATTGAAAGTTAAACCCAAGATTTTGTTGTTAAAAAGCGCCTACCCGATAAAAATAAATAATCAATAATCGCACACCTATACATATATCTGTGAATCACACTGAGAATCGGACATCACGAGCGCATAGGCACTCAAACTTCGATAGACCGTGCCTACGCCATCTACATGTCAGTGCGTTTCGATGCGACGCGTAAAGCTATGGCATTGCACCTCTTCTTAATTCTTTCACTCAACGGTTTTAATAAAAAGCAACTTATTATTAAAGTTACTAATGTCATTTTTATTAAAATAATTGACGCCACCAACGTGGGGCTATTTCCCGACGAACAAATTTTGAAAGCTAAGCTTGTAACTTTTTGTAAGGAGCTGGACGGTATACGAAGCCCGATCAAACCTTTTCTTTTATTATCAAAAGTTTTGGTCATAATTAGTAAATCGTCTGGATTATTAAGAGTTTGGCCTTAAAAGATGAATCATCTAATTTTATTATTTTTGTTACACGTGTTTCGACTTCGAGTCGTCTTCGGACATAACTACGGAATTATTAAATATTTTACGATTAGATACGAAACTACACTACAAAGTTATCATATCGCACCCCGGCGAGAATAGTGTCACAACTCAAAAAATGACAATTTTGAGGTTATGTCAGTAATAAATAGGTCTGGTGTGCCCCCGACGTGCAGAAAAACGTCACATTTCAAACTCACAATTTATCCNAATAACTCTCTTATCACATCTTTGATAATAAGATGCAGCGACGAACTTTTAACAGGTCCAGCAGACGTATAGAAGCCTAGCGGTATTTTCCAATTATGGAGTAAGCCGCGAAGATAAAATACTAAAGCGGTGTTGGCTAATTTTGCTTCTTTACCATAATTTGCCAGATCTTGAAAACACTCAATTGTATCCTGATACTTATTGTATTCCAACTGTTTTTTCAGTGTAATTTCATCAAACATGACCACGCATTTTTTTTTTCGTAATGTGTCATGGTTTTAGCTTTGCAGACTAATCTCTTCGTCAGTGTAGTCTTTATGCCTGTTTTCAAATTTAAAACTTGCAACCAAGATTGAATGGTTCTGATCGCTGGCAGCACAAATTTTAATTTAGATAACATAAAAGCATATGTACTGGGCGATTTATAAAAAAG